TTTTCATCACTTTAAGAAGGTAGGTGTGTAGTGTAAAACAACATTAATGTCTAAATCTGGGGGGAGCCTACTATTTCTCTTACTACTTACAATCTCACAATTTTTTAAACAATTCCAGAACTCTGCAGGGTTTTCACATGAGGCAAGCTTGTTAGAAAAGAATAATTTCTTAGCCTCTTGGATCATGAAATTCAAACTATTTCTTATGGTTTTATACTCATACCAGTCTGAAGAATCTCTGGTCCTCCAATATTTGTTACGGTGTTTATTTTTAACAATTGACAATTCTTTAATTGTTTCATTTATCCAGGGAGCTTTTTTCCGTGTTACCTTCTTACAAACAATAGGAGCAACCTCATCAAACACTTTCTTTATATGATCAGTAATAAATTGCTCTATCTCATCAGGAGACTCTAGCTTGTACACACAATTCCAGTTAGTATCAGCAATTATGTTTAGTGCAGTATCTGCATTAAATTTAGAAAAATCTCTGAATGTGATTAGCTTCGACCCCCTTTTGTCTTTCTTACAAGATATACAACAATATATTAGTTTATGATCAGTCATCCTCATTCCTCTGTGGTCAACTATGCTGGGGGTGTCTATGACTCCAACTCTTTCAATCTCGGCTGATTTGTCTACTATGATGTGATCAATCAATTTTGCCGAGGTTTCTGTCACCCTTGTAGGCTCGCTGACAATTTGTATAGTGTTAGATTCTTTCATCAGCCTACGCAAGTAATTTGTTTCGCAGGTTTGTGACAGCATATCAATATTAGTATCCCCCAAATAAATGACTGATTTAACTTCAACCGCAAGGTCAATAAAAAGGGAGCGAAACAGATCCGAAAGGCGAGTGTACCTTATGTAGGAAGGACGATAAACCACACATATACCAAACTTACTCCCTTTGAAACTCACCACCACACAGAGATGCTCAATACCAGGATCGATAAAATCAGGTAAGTGGTACAGCTGAAAGTCAATGCCGTCTTTCACATACAATGCTACACCACCTCCTGGGTAACCATTTTCAGCAATTCGATCACAACGAAGCATTGAATATCCCGGTATAGCATAACTGTCTGTGGGCGTGTTTGGGTGGAGCCAGGTCTCAGTAACCCCTAATATGTCAAAACTAAAGTCATCAACAACTGAGCACAGCTCATTGAAGGCTGTGTTTAGAGACCTTATATTGACATGGGCCACTTTGAGATTCCCTTTACCCCCCCTCACTGTCAGTTTTCCGGAACATGAGAGGCTCCCGACGCATCTCCAATATTATTGGAGAAGCAACCCACACTCTCAGTCCCGGGAACAAGACAAGGAGTAGGGGCAGCTCCACGGGAGAGAGCACTCACACGATCCAAAGCTGCAGAAATGTGGTCCACAATCAGTGAACCTAAGCGAGAGGCACCCCTTCGATTCAAGTGGACCCCGTCCCGGGCTAAGTTACTCCTGCCAACACAACGGTTTGGATCCACAAAAGAAACGCCAAAATTGTTACACATTAGATCCAGCTGAAAATTAAAATCATGTAAAGATTTAAAAGGAATGTCACGGCGAGTTAAAACACTATTGATTACAATTTCAGCTTTTGGAAACCGTGTCTTGGCAGTATACAGGAGATCTGCCATTTGATGCAAACACTCTCTCTTACCATGCCCGCCGTTGTAACCTGGACCTCCCCTAAAGCCCCTCTTTAAATTGTTACAACCAACATGTAGGTAAATTACAGACAAATCCTTATTTACATAACCTAAAAGTTTTCTTTTAACATCTTGGATTCTGTCTCCAGGGCCGCAATGCACTTGAGCACCTCTGTTTGAGGCTTGTTTACCAGAAAACTTTAAATGTGAGTCACCAATGACTAACACTTTTTCAAATTGATTCGTATGGCAATTAACTAAATTACTAACTGTTCTATTTACAAAGACATTAGTGTTACATTCTGAAACTGTGGTTGCATTCTTAGGATCCAAGCTAACTGAGTCACAGACTATGTCACCAGCGACACTGGAATCAATATTAATTGGAACAGATTTACATTGAGTGTTGTTAGGTTTTTTTGACAAATTTTTTTTAGATTTTCTTTGAATTTGAGATTGCTTTTTCATAGAATTTTTAGGCTTTTTTAACCAATGACCTGAAGGATTTCTAAAAACAACACCATCAGACACCTCATTAATATGACTTAAGACAGAGAATTTATTTTTGCAAGAGATTTGATTTGATGTATTACTTTTTGCTTTGTTTGATTTTCCTTTATGTTTACATAATTTCCACTTTCCCTCACTGTTACCCTTATTACTACTAGCTAAGTCTACCTTATTTACACATGTTTGGTCGGCAAGTTGTGTCGCAGTCAGTTCCACACTTGTGTCCACCACCGTGACGTCACTGATGGTCGTAGCCAGGGTGCCCTCATCTTGCCGTGGGAACGTAGGTGTGATGATCTCTGCGCAGAGTTGAGCCAGCAGCAGCCGCGCGTTGACGATCACATGTAGACCACACTCGAAACCCGCAGTCTGCTGCGCCACACTCCCCTCGGTTAGTTGGATGCCGCCACTCAGTCCCAAGTTGTCAAGGAGTATCTGAGCATGCCGTCTGTTGACACCTCCCGAAGAGTCATAATGCACTGCAGACTGTTTACAAGTGTCCAGCAACAATAAACTCCAATGAGTACCCCCTCGATCACTTAAAGAATTGTTTACACAGAAGAAAACATAACGTTTAATACCGAAATGTAGCTCAGACAGTAGAGTTTGTACTTGGGATTCTTCACCGAGCTTCAAAATTTGAGTCAGTGACGCTCCCACGAAGGTAATATCACTACGGTGGTTAGACACTTCCGTATTAAACAAAGTAAAATAAGCAGTCAGTAACTCGTCTGATACCCATTTTGACTTGTCATTTATCGTGGCCTCGAAATTATTGAGCGTCAATGTCACATCAGAGAGTTTAGATTCTAAATTCTTGCATTGCAACACATTTTTGTCTAATAGTTTTTTTAGTCTACTATTTTCAACAATGTACCGTTTGTTTGTACACTGCAACCTGTCACAATCCTCAACAAGCCTGTCATGTTCATTTTGTAACTGTCTTAATGTCAAGTTGACATTGGAAGCTTTACTTAAACTATCAGTTAAGTTCCGAATTTTATTTTCTAGAGAAAGTCTTTCGTTTACAAGGCAATCATTTGCAACAAGTGACTCGTTTATCTCCAGACGATGGTTCCTCTTAAACACCTCTAATTGGCAATCTAGTTCCTGCAGTTTAGTCTCTGTACTGAGTAATTTATTATTTGTCTCAGCCAAGTGGCCACACGTAGAATTAAATTCAAAAACAACTTTAGCTGAAGCATTAACCAATTCTTCATGGCAATTTTGTTCACAATTTGCAACAAACTTTTCTAGTTGGAGACAAAAATTAGAAATTAGAAGTTCGTTTTCATCAGAAAAATGTGTACAGTCAGAGAGAAAACTTTCCATTTTTATTCTCAGATATTAAAAACTTGAATATATAAGTCTATGTCCACATACTATATACACACTAATACCAGGATTATAATTGACGAGATATCCCAGCGCCTTCAAACTCCTAACCTGAGCGCAACGCAGTAGTGTACGTTCGTTGCGTCGAGCAAATTGCAGGAGTCGCCAAAATTACGAGTAGTCGTAGGCCGGCTAGCAGCGCAACGCGACGGGGAGAAGCGATGCGGGAGAAAGTCTCTGCGGCCGGCAACACTGGTCCCGATGCGCGGCGGCGAGTGCGCAGACGTACCAAACACGCTGTCGCACAGTCTTATCAAACACGAAACTTGAGTTATCAGTTGTCTGGTTATTTACAATTACACACTACGATGTCATTACACAGTAAAATAATAGTTGCAAAACAGTCCAAGATCAATAATAACACAAAGTAAAATAGTCCAAAAAACATTTTACCACTAAAACATACTTTTAAAAACTCACAAGACGTACAGCCCTTCCATTCTGGGCAGATCACGGCTGCCAACCCTCAAAAGTGAGCGTAATAAAATGAAATCAACTATCTCTTACCAAACAGTTGGCAGGAAGCATTAATAGATAAGCTATGTACCAAATACAAATATGATAATCAAAAATGGGTTTTAAATGTATTATTGTTCATTTTTATTTTTTCACCTCAAATATGTAATAAAATGAAACTTTCATAATTATTTGCAAATCTACACGAATCAGGCTTTCCAACCCGTTGTTGATATCCAACCCATTAAAGCAACAAAATCGGTCCGGTAGAAGTCTAGATTTAGTTGTACAAAGTTTAAGAAAATATATCTAATTCAGTATTGTCTCCCCACTATAAATTTGGATATCACTTAGCTTATTGCCAATAACTTGTAAATGGTGAGGAAATCCACCAAAGTGGAAGGTGATATTCTGAAAGAGAATAAAATTTCCTACAAATTGGTACCATGCGCTTCTTGGAAATACTCAATAAAAGCAGCCAAAAGTCGCACCCAAATAAAAAGTAATAAAAACAGTTTTCAATGTATTTCTTATGGAAAATATATTTTTTCAAACTTTTTCACCATAAATCATAACAAAAAATAAAATTCATAATTATTTGCAAATCTACACCAAATTAAGCTTTTTAAGGACCCATTAATTAATAAAATCAGTCCAGTAGAACTCTAGATTTAGTTGTACAAAGATTTTTTAACTGAATTATATATAAGTAGATATTTTTTAGAGTTGACTTTTCTAATATTTAAGAGATGGAAAAGATTAAAAGATTTAGTTGTTTTCAGAAATTTTAAACTAAATTCTACCCTAAATACTGAAATCGGTAAATCCTTTCACGTCACTTTTGAGATTTGATTGAAGATACTATATCAGTAATTATAGGAATTTCTACCAGTCTACAGCTGTTAAAAGTTATAAGTGTTTCAAGCCACTAGAATTGGTTACCTGTAGGCTATAGGCTAACTAATGTTCCTGTTTTGTCCTTAGAAATGTGTCAAGTGTCGGCAATGTGACTTCATGACAAACAAACCGCGGGAAATGATTCACCACCTCAAGCTTTTACACTCAGAAACTCAGACAGCACCAATTTGGAAGTGCTCTAAAGTAAGTTAGTATTACTATTTTATTTTTATATCAAAATATTACTGGATGTTTATTAAAAAGAGAGTAGCATTAGCTTCAACACGGTCTCAGTAATGTTTTGTTGGTGATAAACAAGCTTTGTTGGTTGCTAATTGAAAAAGACTCAAACCGAGACTAATATCCATAGTGATATCAAACAATATGCATAGTGATATCAACACACACAATGTGTGCCTACTAAATCTGGCTTAAAAAATTTAAGGAGTGTTCCAGAGAATTCAAGACAAAATCCTTACAATTAAGTATCATACTATTATCGCAACTTGCCTTTATGCTTCATCACACCTCATTTGTATTAAGTAAAATCTTCTAAAAGACTTATTCTAAGAAATAATCATTCTTATCACACAATGCATTCAACTGATCTATATTTATATCTCACTATGTATTATAGGCCTACTAATATATATTTAACTCCCAATGAATGTTATTTTGTGGTCTATAATATAAATACAGTCTAACCTTGATATAACAACCTCGATAAAACAAATTCCTTGTTATATCACATTTTTTTAAATCCCCTAGAACTCTCCGTAACACACAATGCATATTTTACCTCTACATAACAAACAAACCATATCAACAACCTTAATTTAACGAATTTTTGACGATCCCGGCTAAAATAAGACACCTCAATATAACGCATTTATCTTTTTCAGAACCTCTACATGGTTAATTCAACTTCTACATAACTGTCTAGTCTACGTCTTTCCCTCAATATAACGAACCCCCCCTGTAAACTCACCTCACAATATTCATTTAGGCTAGGCCTATTCTATAAATGTTTAAAGTTAATAAGTTAACAAAGATATACGAATTACAAAAGGTGTTTTATTGAAACAAATGGAACAAACATGCAATGAAATTTAAAAGGCTTAACGTTATAATGAAAGGACTGACAATGGAGTGTGGGGGTTGAAATTAAAATGAAATAGAAGATAAGTTTGAAATAAAGGTTCAAATAATTTAGATGTGCTAAATCTCAGGGTAGGGTGTTGTGCTGGCTTGAATGCTAAGAATTAATAAATTAAATAGTGTCCAAATAGGCCTAATTAAGGTGTTAAACTTACAAAATTCCAACAATGAAAAATCTAATTTTGAGGTTGTCCAAAATGTAAGTCCAATGTGCACTGAATTTAAAAGAGTTTAAAAGAAAAGTTTATACTTAATTTTGAAAAATAATGTTGGAGTTAAGTCTAAGTCCTCTTGATGTTTACTGTGATATAACTTGAATATAAACTGATTTTCTTGATGATATTAATTAATTTAATTTAGATAAAAACTGGACTCTTCTTTTAACAGTTTCAACTTCCACTATGGCTTCCTTCTCTTCCCAATCTCAATGTCCACATAATTCATTGTTGAACACATGGATCACTGTTTCACTACTTCTTTAATTTTGATTCCTTAAGGACTAATTTTGAAATTATATTATAAGAAATTTTGATGTATTGCAATTCTCTTACATATTTAACTAGTGTACCTGTTGCTCGAATTAGAGCAATTGCGAAGCATTACAGGCGACTCAAAGATTATGGAAGTACTCACGATCTACACAACAGTTAGATATAATCAAAATCTTTTGTAAATATCTTTTTTCAAAAAGCTGATCTTGTTTTTTTAGTGTTTTTAGTGTAAAAAAAAACATTATTTATATTTCTTCTACTTGGTTGTGTTCTATGACTTTTTCTATGTTTCCATTGTTTGCAAATTGGTTATTTCAATGATTGCTCAAGAAATGTAGCACAGCGTTAATTCAGTTTTATATTTAGCCTATATCAAATCGTCCAGGATTTCTCGCTCTTTTCAATGGTAATAATTACACCAACCCAAGTTTTGTCTACAGATGCGATATGCCAAAGAATATCACCTACGTACCATCTCCAAGAAGTGGTAAAAAATGCAGAAACCAACCCATACAATAGATATAAGTTAACTCCATAAGAAATTATTTTAAAAGTTACTGTGATATTAGGATTTTCCACTGATTTGGTAATAGAACATTATATTGCAAAACATGACACGATGCAGAAGAAAATCAATTTTAAAATCAGAAAAATCCATGCAAATACTGTACTTCATTTTGAAAAATTCAATAAATCACAATTTAAATATTAACAGCTATTGCATTAAAAAGTAGTGTAGAATTATGCATATGGTCGTAATGTAAACAAATCCGAAGAGGCAACTTTAAAGGCTTCTGGGGCAGAGCCCCAAGGGAATTTACCTCTTTCCTCTTTTGATGGCTCATCTACAGACCAAGACCTTTCTTTAGAGATCCCTACCAAGTTTCTACGCCCAGCCGTTCTCTCAAATTAGCTGTGACAAAAACCCTGTTTTCCTCCATAAGAATAACATGGGATGGGAATTTAAAGGCCATGGGGGCAGAGCCCCAAGGGAATTCACCATGTTTCTCTTTTGATGGCTCATCTACAGACCAAGACCTTTGTTTGGACACCTCTACCGAGTTTCTACGCCCAGCCGTTCTCTCAAAATAGCTGTGACAAAGAAAAACAGTTTCAAATTAATATATAGAAGATAAATAATTAAGTTGTGAGCTTTGTAAAAAAAATATATAGGCTATGGAATTAATATTATTAATGATTAATTGAACAGATTAATGAAATTATATAAATTAGGATAACAAATACTAGGCCAGCCTTTCTGAGGAGTGATTAATAACAAAGGTGTATGAACAAAAGTTAACATTTTAAGAAACTTTACTAAATAATGAATGAATGAAATGAAATATTACACCCCCCACACTATTGTTTAAAAAAAATACCCCCGCCGCAGCAAACCTGCAGACTAAGCGAATTTCCATTTGCCTGATTTGATTTTCAATTAAATTTATTCAAATAACATTAGGTTTAACGAGTACCTAGGTTTGCTGCCTACAGGGTAATAAAGTGTGTTTTTCAGTAAAATATTAACAGCTTAGTATAAAATAAATCGATTGGCCAAGTTTGATCCAAATATATGCATAAACAAGCAAACTACAAAAGTTTACTTATTCTACATAAGAATAACATGGGAATTTTTAATTTATAATTTTCTCCGTAACCAATAACCATACAAAAACACTTCAATATACTGAATTATTTGTTTTTTTAAGCTCTTCAAAATGGTCTAGAAGAAATTTGGGAAATTTTATGTTTTGAGGGTCAAAAATGAGAAAAACCAATTTTTACCCCATAAATCCCCCCATAAAACCCCGTTCCCATGGTCCGATCATGCTGGCTCGCAAACTCGTTCGAATAAACGTAGGTTTACACGTTTGTACCAAATTTCATCGAAATCGGATCATTTTTGCTCGAGTTATCGTGCTGACGGACACATATATATATATATATCTAATATATAAAATTCTCGTGTCACAGTGTTTGTCTGCAAACTCCTCCGGAACGACTTCACCGATCGTAATGAAATTTGGTGTGTAAATTCTGTAGGTATGCGAATCGAACGTAAACTATTTCCCGTTTCGAAATTCTTAAAAGGGCTCCGCCCCAGTGGCTCTGGAGTTTCCCATGTTAACCTTATGAGAAATGGAATTAATGAATCTTAACAGCTGTTTCAATTAAACAAGTTGGTTCTGTTCTATGATGTTCAATAGCATTAAAGTTACAAGGATTACCAACAGGGTGCAGCACTATTATTTCTTTTACATTTATGACAACAGCTAATTTGCAACCAAAAGGTGAGTGAGCGTAGCGAACGAACTTCAACCTGGAGGCGAGTGAGCGTAGCGAACGAGCTAACCTGGAGGCGAGTTAGCGTAGCGAACGAGCTCCAACCTAAAGGCAAGTGAGCGCAGCGAACGAGCTCCAACCCAAAGGTGAGTGAGTGTAGCGAACGAACTTCAACCAGGACGTGATTGAGCGATGCGAACGAGATCATCTTGAAAATTAAACGTAACGGTACTTTCTTTCCATCGGTCTGTCTTAGGGGAAACCTATAACTTAGGCGATACGAAGTTCGCCGGGTCAGCTAGTAAATATATAAATATATATATATATATATATGAATTTGAACGGATGGTGTTTTTGGCTTTTAGGAACATCAAAATGAAAAAGTAAATCGGTCCCGGGACTAAGTCTTACCATGAGACCTACGGTAATAGCTTATTCCCTATAGGGAAATTCGCTAAAATCAGAGTTTCTTAATGAAAATGAAATGGAGAGGTGACGGCAACGCTTGCGCTAACATTCATCTGCTCTTTTTTTTACACATCTGTCTGCTGTACTCTATGTCTCAACTGATTTCATTCACTGAGGACTGATGTCGACATAATGCTTAGTAAACTGGGCTTGGGTGATAAGTAACTATGGCAACTTGTGAATTTTTTTATGAAGGGAAACCTAAGAAAGAACAGAAGAACAAAGATAAAGAATAGCAACATTGTTGTCTTTATTATCTTTAAATGATTATACACTTTCATGATGACTTATCAAATGTTTTTATTGTTTTCAATTTCAATACAATTTGTTTCAACTAAGGCAACACCAATGCTATAGTTTATTATTATTATTGACATTCCTCTGTTGTGATATTGATATAGCAGTACGGTAGCATGAATGAAATATATATATATTAGGGATGGACGGGATTGAATTTTTAGTTCGGGACGGGACGGGACGGGATTTTTATTTCCTTCCCGATTTTCGGGACGGGACGGGACGGGATTTTTTTCTGTGCATAAAAAGAAAGTACTGTATTGCAGTTACCAAAAAAGACATACGAAATAAATTTTTACCATTTGTGGTGGCACTGATCTATAAAAACAAAAAAATGGGTAACAATTTACAGGTACCTATAGAAACTTGTGACTCGCGGGTCACGGAGTGATCGTCTGTATGACTCACGGTCACGGCGCGATCGTCGTCATGACTCCGCGGTCACGGGGTTATCGTCGGTATGACTCCATGGTCACGGCGCGATCGTCGGTAGGACTCGCGGTCACGGCGCGATTGTCGGTAGGACTCCGCGGTCACGGGGTTATCGTCGGTATGACTCGCGATCACGGCTCGATCGTCAGCATGACTCCGCCATCACGGCATGATTATACTGATCGTCAGTATGACTCCGCGGTCACGGCACGATCGTCGGTAGGACTCCGCGGTCACGGCGCGATCGTCGGTAGGACTCCGCGGTCACGGCGCGATCGTCGGTATGACTCGCGGTCACGGCGCGATCGTAGGTATGACTCCGCGGTCACGGCGCGATCGTCGGTATGACTCGCGGTCACGGCGCGATCGTCGGTAGGACTCCGCGGTCACGGAGCGATCGTCGGTATGACTCGCGGTCACGGCGCGATCGTCGGTATGACTCGCGGTCACGTCGTGATCGTCTGTATGACTCGCCATCACGGAATGATCGTCAGTATGACTCCACGGTCACGGCGCGATCGTCGGTAGGACTCCGCGGTCACGGCGCGATCGTCGGTATGACTCGCGGTCACGGCGTGATCGTCGGTATGACTCGTGGTCACAGCGCGATCGTCGGTAGGACTTCGCGGTCACGGCGCGATCGTCGTTATGACTCCGCGGTCACGGCATGACTGTCGGTATGACTCCGCGGTCACAGCCCGATCGTCGTTATGACTCGCGGTCACGGTGCGATCGTCGGTCCAATAATCGCGGCCACGGCGCGATCGTCGTTATGACTCTGCGGTCACGGCGTAATCGTCGAAATGACTTCGTCTCCTGCGTTCGCGGACCTATCGCTCGCAATAACGGCGTTATCGGCACTCGCGAAGCGGAAAAATCGCCGACGATCGGACCAAATCCCGTCCCGAAAAATTCCCGAGTCAAATGTAATCCCGTCCCGATAATCGGGAATATTTTTTTCCCGAAAAATTCCCGAAATTTCGGGACCCGTCCATCCCTAATATATATATATATATATATATATATATTCATACCATGTTGAATAACCGTGGTTTTCACTAACCGTGGTCTCCCTCCACCTTATTACCCCGGATAATCATGGTTCTAATTTACAATGTCAATACTGTAGGTACTGTAAAGTATTGTAGCCAATGCTACTTAATTGTGTTTTAATGAGGCCAAATCTCGACCGATATTGACCGATGCTGTTTCTGAACCTCGATCAGCGAAATACCTGCAAACCTAACCTCAATATAACGAACCTTGTTTTAACGAAATCCTTGATATAACAAAAAATTTGTTCGGTCCCTTCAGATTCGTTATACAGAGGTTGGACTGTATATGTATGTATACAGGGTGATTGAAGTGTGCCAGCTGTTTTATTTGAAAGTTATAATAAGAAATATAATGAAATTTCTAATTTTAACTGCCTTGGATTTTTTATTTTAAAAAATTTGGTCAAGTTGAAAGAATAATTTTAGTTACCATTTTTCCAATATGGCCACCAGCTTTGATTTTTCTTATGGATAACCCTATATTTTATGATTTTTTAAGAAATTAAATGCAATTTAAAATTGTTTTTATTCTTGGAATTTTTCTCTAAAGATACTCTTTTAGGAATTACAGCGTGTTTACAACTAAGAAAAAATTACTTGCGGTGTACATTCTGCGTTATTTAGCTACTAAACAAGTAAATTACTTGTTTAGATAAAAGAATATTTTATTTATGTCATATAGGTAGGGATGAACAAGATCCTGAATTTCAGGAAATTTTCAGGGAAAAAATATTGTTGATCTTGAAGGGATTACATTTATAGTAGGCTTTTATCATAATCCCACCTCCTTGGTTGTTGTTCCTACTATAATAACAATAGGCACTAAGTCCAAAACTATTGATCTCGTCTATTGTCAATTTCTGTTCTGTCAAGATTATAATATCAGGTTTGAAGTCATCAATAGTAATTTTTAAAGAATCTATTCTGCTGCAATATTTATCCATATATTGACCTCAATAGTATTGGCTGTATGTTTTGGTGAAAAACTGTAACTTTAGGTGCTGGATTGTTGGTGGTGTTAGTTATTTGAAATCTTTTGTTACAATTCTGCTTCTTAAAAAATAATTCTTACTATGCGGTCTTACGGGTATCATTATACCCGAGCAAAACATCAAGCTCTGCATTATAAGTAGGCGCAACACTTACTTCACCTTCACTGAGCACAGCACTTGTTGTTGATGTGTGTGCAGGCGTAGGTGCATCTCTCTGTGTGGATTTCTGGTCAGCCTGTGTTGATTGTTTAATCACCTCGTTGTACTGCAGTTCATCTGGTACCACTGGAGGGCTGGCTTGATTGGAACAGGGGCTGCTCGTCAGATCATCAGTCGTAATTGTGGTGTAGTCATCAAAAGCATTCACTGTGTCACTAGCTTTAGCAGCTTGCAATGTTTGTATTGGTATCACCAGGGCCACCTCTAATGACGTTGGTAGGAGTGCTAGTCATAGCAATGCAGCTGGTGCTTGGTGGCAGCTGTGAGTTCCCTGTCTTTGGTGTCTGGTCAGGCCACCCGCGCCAGGGCGAGGAATCAGACATCACTGGCATTGAAGCAATGAGTGGCAGGAATGACCTTTAATGATGGTTTAAAAGATTTCTTGTGTATTTCAGCTTTTAGTGATTCTTCTTATGTTTTCTTGAGTCTTCATTGTATGTCACAATGATTACTGCAGCATTAGTCCTTTGTTGGAATTAAATTATACTAGATAGGCTACATAAGTTTTTATTTCCACTTTGTCCCTTATGCATCCAATTGGGGAACAGTATAAAGTATCATAGTTCCTGCTTTTAAAATCGATAGTGAGATGTCCTGCATGGTCTTGGGATATGTTCAAGATTTTGTCACACCTGCAATCTCGGATTATAGTCATGATGACAATGTGATGACAAAATCAAAATAAGTAAGTTAAATTTATAACTTTGAAATTTTTCAATTTAATAATGTTACATTTTTAAGTTAACAAAGTTATTAATTTAACCTATATGAGATTTTATATTTATCCATATATGATTTTATTTTAATATTTTTACCTATATGTACTTATCAAAATATTTTTTAAAATTTAACTCGGCATATTTAAAATTTTAAAATCTATATTTGTTGTAGACAAAACCTTCAGTTTTTGTCTACAACTCTGGACATACAAAAGGCCTCATGAAATAAAAATTACAAAAACGAGCTGTTACCCACGGGCTTCACCCCGTTTGACTTTATAAGTATTAATAAAACTATTGATTGGTTAAGTTAAGCTGAAATAAATAAAACAGAATACAGTAATACAAACAAATAATCAGACCTGATTTTAATAAGGTAATACCGTAATACATTGAAAGAATAACATACAAATAAGTACAGCTGAGGTATTTTTAACATTAGGTATATGGAAAGTACCCTTTAGAAAAGAATTACGACCTTAAAGAATAATGGATAGTTTTGCACAAGGTTTCTCGTCATGACGGACATTTTAAGTATGTTGTTCATTGGGGTGTGACTTGTAGTTTTCTTAAAAGTGCATGGGTACTTTGGGCTTTATATATGGATATTAATGTATATATTAACATTTGAACAGCTGGCAATTTAAAACCAGTAAGTTAAACCAACTCAGCATATATAACACAGTAGATGTAAAACTATTTATTAAATTTGTACTTTATTTAACAGTTTCTTACGTTTTTATAGTGTCCATACAAGTCAAAGCTGCGTGCTCATTTGAATCGCCACGTTAATGATGTGCATGAAGGGGTACGGAAGTTCTTGTGCCAATACTGCGGCAAGAAATTCAAGCGGAATGAAACTCTGATGGAACACAAAGCTACCCACGGAGAACTGACTCAATCCTTTACCTGTCAGTTCTGTGACAAGGCATTCCCCAAGTCATTTCAACTACAACAGCACATGGTTGGTTCATAACAGAAGTTAACAGTCTATTAGAGTTTCAATTATCCGATCAATGTCTATAGGTCCATTTAAGTAAGCCGGTAGTGCAATGGACTTCATGCCCAAGTCAATGATGTCGTGGGCTTGGATCCTGGTACCTGCGACTACTTTGTATCATTTCATGTTGTAGTTGTTTTTCTAGGCCACTTTATGCAAATTAAAATAAGAAGGTTACAATACCTGCAGACTGCCTATAGTGGTCCTCGATCATCCAACAGGATTACACGTTTCGGTATTCTTATACTATAAAAATAAATAATTCTTTATTGTCACGATCATCAGATCATTTACAAAACTTGAAGTTTTTTGACACTTGATGTCACATCACAGTTTTTAAAAAACACAGTCACAAAACATTTAGTCACAAAGTACAGTAGGCCTACGATAAAAAAAAAAAACGAGAGACAAAAAAGGAGCAACGCATGCATTTAAAGTGTCGAGTCTTGACTGCTTCTTTCTTCGAGACTCGACACTTGAAATGCAAGCCTAACGCATTGACATACCAAAACGCGTAATCCTGTTGGATGATCGAGGACCACTATAGACAGTCTGCAAGTATTGTAACCTTCTTATTTTGATTTACTTTTTATCCGTATAGTTCACCCCTTGCTTTGCTGGATACTTTCCACGCAGAAGCCCAAGTCCTATGTGGACAGGAAACTGTGGTGGGTCAGTGTAGGCTTACATGGAAATAGTACACAACTTTATGGTAGGTATTCACAGGGAGGGTCATCTAACAAAGAAGGTCGGATAGTTGAAACTCTACTAGTTTCATATAATATAATCTTATTTTTGTATGATTAAATTATTTTCATCACCTTATAAATCGAGTTTATTTTTATTTTATATTTTTGCACAGGTACAACTAATTACTCTGAAACAATATAAGCAGTGATAGAAAAACTGAATTGACAATATACATGATCAGAAGTTCTCAGGCATCAGCTCTTGTAAATGATAGGATGAGAAATGTTTCAAGTTCAATACAATCCAGCTGTTTCTTTTCATACCAGACCAAACTAAAAACTCCCTTTTTTCCAAGCAACTAACAAAACTAATCGTGAGGTTCCTTTCAACTAGTAAAACTTACTCTTCTATTTAATGTCCTTTCATTTTGAACAACTAACTGTAAGTATAGAAAAAAAATGTAATTTTTGTTTTGGGAGTCCAGATCTGATCTCGCAACTGCTGAACTTTAGGTTTGAAGGCGAGCAGCATAACAACTCAGCCACCTATACAATCATGATTTCTTAAACTAATGATCAAGTCCTAATGAGAAACTCTTAAATACAGTTTCTTTACTTGATATGAGGTGGAGATGAAAAAAGTATGTGAAGTCTAGGACTAGACACAAATGACAACAACATGACCATCAGTGGCGGTGCCAATGACTGTAGAGGCTAAAGCCTTCTCATTAGACCCTGGCAATAGTTATTTGTGTAACTAGTGGTGAAAGTGGCACTTTGCTGCACACGAGAGCAATGTTTACGAATGATCTCGAGTGCAGCAAAGGCCTTTTCCACTCGTGTTACACATTATATTTTTCCTATAGTCACTATAAAGCATATAAATAATTAGTCTTTCAAACACTATACAACACGTTTTTAGGTTCAGCTGGCAACACAACTGGTGCCCTAGAGAAAGTAGTACCCGCGGTCCGTATCACTCCGCTATTTTTCCTCGGCAAGAAATATGCTCCGCGTTTTGAGAATATAGTTCCGTATGTTTTTGTAATTTGAAGTGGTTTCCGCGCCTAAAAAACATTCTTTAAAGGTATTTTCTTGTTAATTAAGATCGTAGGAATGTTTTAAAAACGTTTAAAAGAAAAGTCCAGAAAGTTCAGAAATACCGAAACTATAAACACGAAATGACAGGTTAAATCGTAGTTATAATAGTCAATCAGCTGCTCATAGTATTATTATCTTTAAGTGTTGCCAACCTATTTCCAAGCGTACACGGATTACGTGCATAATAGAACCACGCTGTTTTGTGTTGTTTCGTTGGAATCCTGATGTGCGGCAAAGTATAAACCGTACGACAAAGTATAAACCGTACGACAAAGTATAAACCGTACGGCAAAGTATAAATATGCAGCAATTAGCAGCTTTCTGTACTATAAACAGTACAAGGAAGCCAACTTTGTCGGGTGACTGTAGGAAAAATAAATTTAAACACTAGCTGTTGGCCCGTCCTACTTACGGGAATCAAGCAGTCGATTAAAACTTAATATAATTCAGAACAGCTAGTTTACATGCATAAAGAAACATTCTGGCAGTTTTAATAGGGAAAGTCATCTTATAAACAAATATCACATGACCAAAAATTTTCTTCATCCGATTATAGGCCTATTTAAAATGAGTAAATATTTTAAATCCGATAATTATACGATAAAACAGCGATTGTGTTGATTTGAAAAGCCATGAAGTGAGATTTGCGATCGATTCACACACACTGGTTACTGGTTTAAAGTACAGTAGCTACACCACCTTCCATTGCATACTATCACTTACATACTACCTTATTTTACCTCAATGGCCACGGAAACCGTAAGAGGATTTTGGCCTTCCATTTTCTTCCATCCCTTGCCTATTCTAATGTTGATCCCAGTCTGGAGAAGTCTTTCATTGCTTGGGCCTCCTAGTGGTCGAAAGTTGTATCTCCTTTCCTCCACCCATAGCCTGTCAATCAGAGCCTTTTACTTCTAGAAAGCCCCATATATCTGGGGGCTTAAACATTCCTCTTAGCTCTCTGTTCTTTCATATCTCAACCTCCGTTATCATGAAATGGCCCGTATATTTTCTCTGCACTCTATTCTCAAATCCAGCAGTAATGTTTTTTGTTTCTATATTCAGTGCCGAAGTTTCTGAACCATGCAGTACTCCTGGGATAATATGGTACGGTATGAATCAAATTTGGTTTCTACAGACACCCTGGAGCTCATTGGACAGTTTTCTTTAAACCTATCACACCAAAAATGTGACATCATTAAATTAACCGTCCATGCATCTACAGGGTGAGTTTTAATTGTCCCCCCCCCCAACTTTTCTCTACATTTTTTCAAATATCAATCCCAGACCACTTCCAAACATTGTTGGGTAGTAAGTACTTTATTTTGACAAGGTGGCCATTTCCGGCCGCCATCTTGGATCCGCCATATTGGATGCAAAATTTTTTTTTCAAATGTAAAGGTGGGGTTGTGACCCATTATTTCGAACTAAATTTTTACCCTGATTACAATGCCGCAAACCGTTTTAAAAAATCTTGATTCATTCTAAAGTTATGAGGGCTTTTTAAAACGTTATTTTTAGCCCATTTTAACATTGTGCATTTACAAACTAAGACCATAATCTCAAAATAGTGCTAGATAAAGATAAGTATACACTACCAGTAATTGTCGACCTATTTTCACTTGGTTATGACTGATGTATTTTTTTCGGCCGCCATCTTGGATCCACCATTTTGAAATGTGATAAATTATTTTAAATATGAAGGGGGCGTTGTGACCCATCATTTCGAACTACTTTTTTAAGCTGAACTTAATTCCATGATCCGTTTTTCATTTTCATTTTTTGATTTTGAAATATTGACATTTTTAACAAAAAAATTTCAATATTTCATAAATAAAACTTGATAACAAAAAATGGGTTGCGGCATTGTCTTCAACTTAAAAAATTAGTTCGAAATGATGGGTCACAACACCCCCTTCATATTTAAAATAATTTATCACATTTCAAAATGGCGGATCCAAGATGGCGGCCGAAAAAAATACATCAGTCATAACCAAGTGAAAATAGGTCGACAATTACTGGTAGTGTATACTTATCTTTATCTAGCACTATTTTGAGATTATGGTCTTAGTTTGTAAATGCACAATGTTAAAATGGGCTAAAAATAACGTTTTAAAAAGCCCTCATAACTTTAGAATGAATCAAGATTTTTTAAAACGGTTTGCGGCATTGTAATCAGGGTAAAAATTTAGTTCGAAATAATGGGTCACAACCCCACCTTTACATTTGAAAAAAAAAAATTTACATCCAATATGGCGGATCCAAGATGGCGGCCGGAAATGGCCACCTTGTCAAAATGAAGTACTTACTACCCAACAATGTTTAGAAGTGGTCTGGGATTGATATTTGAAAAAATGTAGAAAAAAGTTGGGGGGGGGGACAATTAAAACTCACCCTGTATATAATTAATACGCTACATGAAACTTTGTCGGTTGAACTCCTCCGCCATTTCTTAACCGATTTTATCCACTGACGTCTCATTGGAAAGAGCGTGTCGCGTAGATTTGCAAACTGGCCTTACACTTTTTTTTAAAGTCCCTTGGGCTCTGCCCCAGTGGCTTTGAAAGTTCCCATGTTATCCTTATGGAGAACTTAATTGTTTACATTTTGATCAGCTGTATAGTTTAATTGCTGTTATTTATCTTTAAATTCATTGAAACGCATTGAGTACATTTATTTACTATTTGAGTTTGTGTAAACATAACCCCCAAGACGGATCGTGTTAGTATGGTTGTACCTTAAATTTGTGTATTTACCGTTGTTTTGTGTTGCTATGACGGATCGTGTTAGCATGATTGTTACTTAAATTTGTGCATTTATCGTTGTTTTGTGTAGCTATAATTTGTTTATTTGTTGTTTCTTTCTTTTAAATGCCTCCGACGCGACGACAATGAAACAGACAGGAGGCGTAATCGTGATAACGACCGCAGCTACAGAACAGTGGCGCGTAATAGGCTTAACTCATCACAGTCAGCACCTGACCCTGGACAATCTCAACTATTAGTTTACAAATGCGCCCTAACACTACCCCAAAACGAGTTTTCGTTCTCATTAGGCCCTCTATCAATGACATGTGTTGCCTGTACAGCGAGGCATTTTGAGAAGGAGAAAACCGGCCGGAATGCTTTAGGTTTATCAATAACGAAGATAAACATGGTCTGAGTTACACACCGG